GGAGGCTGAGGCAGGAGAATCGCTTGAACCCAGGAGGCGGAGGTGGCAGTGAGCCGAGATCGTGCCACTGCACTCCAGCCTGGGTGACAGAGTGAGACTCCGTCTAAAAAAAAAAAAACTAAAACTGGGCCTGGTGATTAGGATGTGAGCTTAGCCCTGCACTTAAGGGACAGGGTCACAGAAGAGGCCTGGGGAAGGCCAGAGAATGCTGGTTCCAAACTGCAGCCACAGTAACCATGCCCTCAGCCCAGTGAGAGCCTCACCCTGGCAAGGGTGCCCCAGAGCACTTCCAACTTCATCTTGATGAAGTAGAGGTCAAGTTTTGGGTGGTGCTTCCCAGAGGACAGCAAGGTCCTGGGAAACCTCTTGTGTTTGAACTTTTCAGAAAGGTAGAGGAGCCTCCAGAGCAGAGTGTGAGTCCCTGGGTCCTGCCAGAGTACCCAGGAATGGGAAGGGAGGCAGCTGTATCCAGTCTGTTCTGAAGGTACTGCCATTCACAGGACTGGGCCAGGTGACATAACTGGCATGGAGATGCTGCACGCATCCCAGGACAGGCCTGGGATCATCCTTATAGGCCCATGGGACAAATCTTTTTTTTTTTTTTTTTTGAGACAGTCTTGCTCTGTCACCCAAGCTGTAGTGCAATGGTGAGAGCTTGGCTCACTGCAACCTCTGCCTCCCGGGTTCAAGCCAATCTCCTACCTCAGCATCCCAGGCAGCTGGGACTACAGGCATGTGCCACTACACCCAGCTAATTTTTTTTTTTTTAAAGTAGAGATGGGGTTTCACCATGCTGGCCAGGCTGGTCTAAAACTCCTTACCTCAAGTGATCCGCCCGCCTCAGCCTCCTGAAGTGCTGGGATTACAGATGTTTACAGATGTGAGCCACCGTGCCTGGCCCCATGGGGCCAATCTTACTGGGTCCTGTCCCCTCCTCCCGTTTGTCTCCAGTGAACCTCGGACTGAGCCAAATGTCCCCTTTGTCAAAGCTAGACCTTTCCCTGGCAATAAAGACCCACTCTACAGGCAAGAGAATGAGCCATGAGCACCACAGTGACATCTGTCTCAATGTTCTTACAACCTGACACTGCTGTCTCCTGTGTAAGTCACCCAGAAGCGAAGCCATCCCAGTGGCTGTGAAGTGGTGTCTTCTTGTGTTTTGTTTTGTCTTGTTTTTGTTTTTAGTTTTTGAGACAGAGTTTCGCTCTGTCTCCAGGCTGGAGTGCAGTGGGGCAATCTTGGCTCACTGCAACCTCTGACTCCCTGGTTCAAGCGATTCTCCTGCCTCAGCCTCCTGAGTAGCTGGGATTACAGGCACGTGCCACCACGCCCAGCTAATTTTTGTATTTTTAGTAAAGATGGGGTTTCACCATGTTGGCCAGGATGTTCTCTATCTCTTGACCTTGTGATCTGCCCAGCTTGTCCTCCCAAAGGGCTGGGATTACAGGCGTGAGCCACCGAACCCAGCCTTTATTGTGGTTTTGATCTGCATTTCCTTGATGACAAATGAGGCTGAGCATCTTTCCTTGTGTTTATTGAATATTTGCATATCTTGTTTGGAGAAATGTCTATTCAGATCCTTTGCCTAAGTTTTATTTATTTTTCTATTTTGAGACAGGGTCTCACTCTGTTGCCCAGGCTGGAGTGCAGTGGCGTGATCTCGGCTCACTGCAACCTCCACCTCCTGGATTCAAGCAATTCGCTTGCCTCAACCTCCTGAGTAGCTGGGACTACAGGCATGTACAACCTTGCCTAGCTAATTTTTGTATTTTTGGTAGAGACGGCGTTTTACCATGTTGGCCAGACTGGTCACAAATCCACCCGCCTTGGCCTCCCAAAATGCTGAGATTACAGGCAATAGCCACCTTGCCCGGCCCCTTTGACCTTTTTTTTTTCAAGACAAAGTCTCACTCTCGCCGAGGCTGGAGTGCAGTGGCATGATCTCAGCTCATTGCAAACTCCTCCCAGATTCAAGTGATTTCCTGCCTCAACCTCCTGAATAGCTGGGAGGCACCACCACACCCAGCTAATTTTTGTATTTTTTTTTCTTTGTTTTTAAGATGGGGTTTCACCATGATGGCCAGGCTGGTCTTGTTCGGACTCCTGACCTCAGGTGATCCACCCACCTCGGCCTCCCAAAGTGCTAGGACTACAGGTGTGAGCTGCCCGGCCTAATTTTTGTATCTTTAGTAGAGGCGGGCTTCACCATGTTGGCCAGGCTAGTCTCGAACTCCTGACCTCTGCTCCCAGCTCCCTTTGACCATTTTTAATGGGGTCATTTGTCTTTTTATTGAGTTGCAAGGGTTGGTTTTTTTTTTTTTTTTTTTTTGAGATGGAGTCTCACTCTGTCTCCCAGGCTGGAGTGCAGTGCTCACTGCAACCTCTGCTTCCCAGGTTTAAGCGATTCTCCTGCCTCAGCCTCCCAAGTAGCTGGGACTACAGGTGAGCACCACTGCGCCCAGCTAATTTTTTTTTTTTTTTTTTTTTTTTTGAGATGGAGTCTTTCTCTGTTGCCCAGGCTGGAGTGCAGTGGCATGATCTAGGCTCACTGCAAACTCTGCCTTCAGGTTCAAGCGATTCTCCTGTCTCAGCCTCCCAAGTAACTGGGGTTACAGGCGCACGCCACCACATCTGGCTAATTTTTTTGTGTTTTTAGTAGAGACGGGGTTTCACCATGTTGGTCAGGCTGGTCTCGAACTCCTGACCGTGATTTGCCGGCCTTGGCCTCCCAAAGTGCTGGGATTACAGGCATAAGCCACTGTGCCTGGCGTTTGCCCTATGCATTCTAGGAGTTTTAACGTTTTAGGTCTTACTTGTGGCCTAGAAAATGATGTTTGTAGCTAGCGAGAGGTGGATGTTCAACCTCATTCTTTTACATGGATGTCGTTATTCCAGCACAATTTTGCTAAAAACCTCTTGTTTCCACATAAATGGTCTCAGGACACCCTGGAAAAGCAATTGACCATAAATGTAAGGGGCTGACATCAGTTCCGTTCCACTGGTCTCTATGTCTAGCCTTATGCCAGTACCACACTGTCTTGATTTCCCATACCTTTGTAGTAACTCAGTACTTTTTTTTTTTTTTTGATATGGAATCTTGCTCTGTCACCCAAGTTGGAGTGCAGTGGCACGATCTCGGCTCACTGCAACTGTTGTATTGGACCGAGTGTAGAAAGTTATCACCAAAGGCCGGGCGCGGTGGCTCACGCCTGTAATCCCAGCACTTTGGGAGGCCGAGGCGGGTGGATCACGAGGTCAA